TGTGATGACGTCAGCTACGCGGTTTCGTCGAGCACGCTTTAGTCGAACGCGGTTTTGTGGTGGAACCGTAAAAGATGCTTAGATCAGAGGAGGTATTCAGCAGGTTCTGAATAATTCTGGAGAACCGGTAGCGGAAATTTTTAGTAGTTCAGAGAACCAGCAAATACCACCTCTGACTGGCCCCGCCCCCATCTATTCTCTGCCTCCCGAGTCCCAGCTGAACGAGAGGAAATGGGGATTTTGCAGTATCCTTCCCCTGCCATGCCCACCAAGCCATGCCCACAGAACCGGTAGTAAAAAATCTTGAATACCACCACTGGCTTACATCAAATTTCTAAAACAAAATACATGTATTAGGTATCCAGAGTTTGAAAGGGATTCATTTGATTGATTTCTATAATTCCCGATTTTTAGCCGTTGAGGTTAGTTAGTAAAGTAATTTTATTCTCATTTTGTATCCTGTTTTTAGTATGTAAAGTTATAAGCTACCTAAAGTCTAGTTGGTTTCAGGTGGTCAGATAAATGTCATAAATAAATAATTAAGATCTCCTCCCCGGCTTTACAAAGCCAATTCTTTTTCCCCTTTCCTCTTTCTTTAACAGAATAAAGGCAATGTGTCATCTTTCCCACCTTATAAAGATGGTAAGTGAAGACTTTTGATTGATTTATTATGTCATGTGAACTTTGGGCCAGCCTCTCCCTCTCTCTCAGACCAAAGAGCCAATCAGATGTACTGGAGAACGAGGTGGGCTAGAGCAGTGTTCACCAATCGGTGGTCCATGGACCACTGGTGATCGTCGAGAAAATTTTGGTGGTTCGCAGAAAAATTATTTGCATTTTTTATATTGCACTAAATCAGAGTCCTCAAACTATGCCCCCCCAGGCTGGATATGTGCAATGAACATTTGTGTTGCTGCAGAGAGTCTCCCCCTTCGGGGTCTTTTTGTGTGGGTCAGAGGGGGACAGAAATTCCAACTTGTGGTCTGCTTCGGCCTCCTGTTGCGGTGCTTTGGGCAAAGACTGGAGGGAAGTGCCACTGGTGACAAAGAGCCGGAAGGCCTTGTTCCAGTGGGACTGCATCACGGCCTGGAACTGGCTGACTAGCTCAGCCCACTGAGCCTCCAGGTGCCGGTACCTGGCTTTGCACTCCCGCAGGTCTTCCCTCTGCTTGGAAAGCCTATGTTCGTAGTCCTCAGTGAGGTGCTTCTGCTGAGCCTCCTCCATGGTCAGATCCAATTTGAACTGAGCTGTTTTGCCAACT